AAGAGGGATATCTCTTAATCTTCTGCATGTTAGTGTCGGTTTGGTGTATGCTAATGCTTAAAATTGTCGCATGTTGCTTCATTACAGCTTTTTCATATCATGAGTTATGCCTTGGGCTCTGTGCATTGTTCCTTGCTTTTTGCCTGCCTTCGGCCGCATATCCTTGTTGTCTTGCATGTTTTGTCTTGAGTCCTTCGGCTTGTCAAAAATGGGGTCGTCTCTGGCTTGGCATTACTCCCGTCATTGTTATGACTTTCGAGTTCTGTCAAAGAGGGGCAACTGTAGACACCCCATTTTGACGTCCTCAGACTTGGAACGTCACCTGGTTGAACACTCGGCGATTATCCATGTTTGTGTCGTGGTTGGAGTTCCCGGGGTCCGGCTCGGCGCGCGCCTTACCTCAGGATTCGAAGCTTGACCGTTTAGTGTCCGGTTTTGCAACCGAACACTTGTGTTTTGCCTGGGGAGGAGAGATAAGGCTTGTGACCAGCCCACAACACACCGGCAGGTGGCTGAAGGCTGCGCGCTGGCTCTTTCTTCATCGGCACTTTTTGTTTGCGCGTCGGCCACACTTTATTGCCGGTCGGCATAAATTTTTGCCGGAACGGCACGTTTTTGTCGAAGACCATTTTTGGGCGGCGACCCACTGTTCATCCACTTTATGGAGATATTTTGTGGCCAGCTGTGATAGCTGGCACAACTCCTCCCCCTCCATACACGTGTTCTGGAGGGATTTCCCTACTAGCCAAGCTTGTTTGTATAAGCTTGGCAAGAGGGATTCCTATGAGAGAGAGGCTTCTCCTCTTGGTTCTAGGTTAGAAAACAGAAGCAACAAACCGCCGTTAGGCAATTCTATAGTAATAAGGGAAAGAGGGTTTTTGAAAATTGTATAAAATGTGTGTGAGATACAGTTTGATATTAACGTTGAGATGAATTAAGTTTAAATCACGGTTCAGATGGTTAAAATGAATGAGGATTGCCTCCCAAATATATCACGTCTGATCCATCCTCCCACCTCCCCCTCTCTCTCTCTCTCACTCTCTGTTCTTCTCTTCTTCTTCGAATTAGAAGCAAAAAAAACCCCACCCTCTTTGCTACGGGCGTCCTCCTCCCACCTCTTGCTACAAGCTCCTCTCCCTCTCTATTCGTCACGCTCCTCTTCATCGCAAGGTAAGATTCCTCTAAAAACCCCTTTCGATTTAATATAGTCTTTGTGCTTTGATCATACTATACCGAAGCAGTTGGCGGCTTTGATCATTATAACCAGAT